ACCTCACTAATAAGATTGCAAGATACTTGAGAGCAAGTAGCATACATCACAAGTATTTGTATTATGCCCTAGTAGTGCAGTGGTTAAGAGCTTGGCTGCAAACCAAAAGTTGGCAGTTCAAATCCACCAGCGACTCCTTGGAAACCTTATGGGGCAATTCTACTCTGTCCTATAGGGTCACTATGAGTCGGATTCAACTAGATGGTAATGGATTTTTTTTTTTTTAAATTCATTTTGCTCTTAGCATGATGCTTTAACTCTTTTTTTTTTTTTAGTGTTCAGTATATACCTGTTATAGTCACATAAATGTTGTTTGGTTGTTAGGTGCTGTTGAGTCGGTTCTGACTCATAGTGACTGTATGTACAACAGAATGAAAGATAAATTCACATAAATATCCGTATAGTCAGGAGTATAAACTTCATTTGGAAGATAATATATATAAAAACTTCTGTAGTACAATACTATAGATTGTCTAAATGGTCCCTAATATTCTTTAAATGAGTGGTAATAGGACAACAGTAATAGGATGGAGTAGATATGCAATAAGAAGAGAGTAGATGAATCTGCCTGGAATTGTGTGTACACATTATAGTACACATATATGTATATTGACCCCGGGTAGTTGATGTTTAATACGTACCAAGTATATTTCTAAGTGTAGGATAAGAGCTACCACCCCAAGTTACTTACTTGCTAAATTTAGATCTTGATATATTGGGTTTTCTCAAAGTATCCCTGTGACCCCTGAGATATGAAATTTGAGGTAAAGTCTTCTGGGTCATACAGTACAAGGATTTGTGGAAGATTCTTTATATTGATATACTTTTTATAAGTCCTAGATGATTTCTTAAGTTTCTACCTGACTCAGTCCCTTTCATTTTCTATTCACTATACAAGGTAGCATTTCTTGATAGCTGAACATAATACTGTACTATTTTCCAATGAAAGACGTTTTGCATTTCAAGGTAAAAAGACTTCTTTAGTGAACTTGGACTTTGAATTTCCCAAATTAATGCTGATATTTGAACACATAAAATACTCCATTAAAATAGTTTTTTATTGTTAATAATTACAGGCTCAGGTCAGAAAAACTTTCAGAAAGACAGTTTATTATTCTGAGCATTCTGTCTTGTTCTGAATGTCAGTTATTTCCATTTTCTTTTATAAACAATTTTGTACAAATCATCATTTGCTAGCAGGCTTTTTTCCTTTCTGATGGGCCCAGAGCACTGGTAGTATTTACTAGGATCTAGATGAAGAGCACCTTACAAACTTGACTTGGTGTTCTTTTTGATTATTCACTAAAACTGTTAGTCATGTTTCACCACTTTCTTCATTTAAGAAACCTGCTCCCCAGGGTCCCCTTTCTTTTGAACTTTTTGGGTTACACTATATAAAAAGACATCATTTTAAGTGCAATGGCCCATAGAGTCATTAGTTCACTTGTAATCACTGACTACATGCTCTTTATTCACTCAGGGAAAAACAGCCAATTACCAAAAAAATTCATGAAATTAACAAAATATTATAAACCTTCTGAACTGATATACATGTGATGAAGTTTCCTCAACACAAGAACAATTTTCTCCTTCCTGTTTTCAGATGATAATTCTTTCTCTTATCTTAAAATAGCTCATGATTTTTAGAAAGGTAAAGGATTTATAGCTTTATGCATCCAGGAAGCATCTTTGGGAACAGAGAGAGAGATCACCCAATTTACTAGAGGCAAAGTCCAAGATGTGACTGTCCAGGAGGTTGCAGAGCTTAAGACAATCCAAACCAAAGAGGCTCAAATACAGAAAAAAAGGTAAGCAGGCAGATTTTTGAAGGAACTGAAAATCCTTTCAGCCTTTGGAACAGTTTGCAACCCAAGCATCCAAGGTATCTAGTGGAGTTTGTTGCAACACTTGCTCTTAACATCCCTGAGGAAAAGGATGGCCTGGGGGGTCCTCTTAGCTGTTGGAGTGAAGTTAATTCATGACCAAACTTTTGCTAAGTTGGGATAAGACATCTAGACACTTTAAACTTATCTGTTTCCGTGTTTTGTATTTGTTTTCTTTTCCCTTAATTTCCTGAGAAGAAGGTTTTTTGAAAAAGTTCTAACCTCAGGGGAGCAAGGAGAATCAAAATGCAGAAAGGTCAGTGGTAGCAGTAGCATCCACAATAGGATCCGCAGTCCCGTCTCCTGATCCACACAAGCACCTGGGGGGTGTTAATGAAGCAGGTTTGGGAGAAGCTTAGGATGTGGGAGTTTCCCCTGATGTTCCTATGACTGAGCAAATGCAATAACTTAGCGACATTCTGAGAAAAGATACACGTCACCTTGTAATGTAGAGAGAGCTGGGACATGCAGGTGAATAGGGACTGGCAGCCCCTGCCTGCAGCCTTTCAACTGAAGGCTCAGCCCTATCCAGTTACTCAGCATACCCTGATCTGGGCAGCGAGTGCATTGCTGGAGCACCAGGCAGTGTCCTTAGCCATAACTCTGCTTGGTTGTGGCTTTGTCTCCTCTCCCTTGACTCGTTCATTGAAATAAAAAGGAGTATCTTGTAGACTGGGCTTCCCAACTTGTGAGAGAAAAGGTTGACTCTCAGTAGACCAAGGTTCAAGCGTTGTTGAGAAGCAATAGTGTGACTGGAGATCGCAAGGGGTAGGGGCTGGGGGAGGTATGTGAGGTGCATTTGCAAAGGTTAGGATTAACTTCAGGTTGCAACAGAACCATTGCAGCCTGGTGCACTGTTACTTGAGCTCTTTTCTACAGATTCTTAGTTTTAGATATTTTTTCACTCATGCTAAGGCCCACTGCTTACTGATGCTAGTTTAGCATCAATGCCTGTTCTTTTAGTTATTTCTCTCCTCAAATTTTCAGCTTCACTTATAGGCAAAGATCAGCTTGTAGGACAAACCAGTAGAATTGTAAGGAAAGGTTTATTCTTTCTCATTTCATCAGATTTTTTACTATCTGCCTTGACCCCATGATTGAACTGAACTTCTCATATCTTAAGACGCAGTGGATTTTCCAGATAAACTGTTACTTGGGGACTTTCTTCTTTCCCCTACCTATCACAGTTTTGGCAACAATTAATCTAAAAAAAAAATGGTCAAAATGCAAAGAAAAAAAAAAGATGCAGTCTTTCAGTGTGTTACTCAGTCCCAAAGTGACGTTATCTATGGGCTGTCTGAGGCACAAAGTAAGGATTTTTCATTTGAGCTTAAAAAGTTGTTAAAAGAACAGTTGTTGAAAATAATAGTGCTACTGTAATATCTCAAAGAACTGAATATCACCTAGGTCTGTGTAGAGACAGCTATACTGCAATGGTACTATAGTGCCAAGTCTGAGTTTGAGATTATAACCTTTTTTTTGGAGGGGTGGGGGCAGACAATAATGTCTTGATTTTTTTTCCTTAAATATTTTGCAGGTAGGAAAATACTCCAAAGAAACAACTCAGTTTAAGAAGGAAAACAATATGTACTTAAAAATTCTATTTAGTGTCACAAACTTAAGAACACTCTTAACTGAAATTTCTGCTTCCAGAATACTCTAGAGAAAAGGTTGTAAAGTGACAGTTTAATAAGCGTCAGTTCCTTGCTGACTCTGAACATTTAACACCTTAGAAGATATATAATGTCCAAATGACTCAATATTTAACCTAATCTTGACAAAAGAAATCCAAAAACCCACGGAGGGGTGAATATCTCTCAGTGTCAATGCTTGGGCAGGAGGCCACCCAAAGAACCTGGCATGTTGCGAGCCTCTCCTCTTCTGTATGTTTCAGTCCAATGCTTTGCATGACTTATCAGTTTACTGGATACACATTATATTAAAGCCCAATTGCCTTCTAAGAAGAGCAGCTCTAAATGTTGGGAAGCCACCTGTGTAATGAAATAGCACTGTTTCTTATTTTAATGGCTGAGCCTCTTCATTATTCTTGTCTTTTTTCCTTGTCACCTGCTATTGCTCTACTGCTCTTACTTCAGGGTGAAGCTAGATGAACTGGCCTTTCCATTCTTCCCAAGGGGGTGGTATAAGGCCATGTTCCTTTTTGTTACGCTCCTCCTGCAGGGTGAGTCTCAGGGTAAGGGCCCACACTCTCTTATCTAGAATCCTTGGAACAGACATATTTTGGATTTCAAAATTTTTTTCAGATATGGTACCCAAAGCATATACTACACAAAACCTCCAGTGGGGTCTGATCCAGCATCTCATAATCAAATCCATTGATATTTCTGCAGTGAAATATATGAATATTCACAATCAATGGAAAATAAATAAAATATGTAAATAGACTCAAATAAGTTCAGGTCAAGCTTTGCCATCAAATGAGTTCTGGTGTCAAATTTGCCCCCCCCCAAAAAAAAAAACCTTATTTTTAGGGCATTCTGGATTTTGAAATTGAGGATAAGGGATGCAGACTTGTATTAGTTTCTCAAAGAGTTAAAACAAATTAATCTATTTGCACTTAGAGAAGGAAGAGATGAAACCTATCACAAATAACCCAAACAGGCCTTTCAAAGCAATCTTTTAGACATAGAATTTGACTATTTTGAGCAGGATTTGAGATAAATGGGTTGTTCTCATTCCTGGCTCCTGTCATATGACCTTGACATATTCTGTCCCCCAGAGACGGTGTTGTTGTCATGGAATCTGGGCCGCCTTGCTGCTCTGCAGGGAAAGGGAGCAGAAGTGGGCAGACTTAACCTCCCTGAAACTCCTAGGAACATTCCCAGACCAGGATCAGAACCTCAACTAGACAACAGTGTTGGAGCCAAATGGCATGCTTGTACTATGACTCCATAACAAATTAATTGCATAGTTGGAGTTTTTAAGAACATAAAAAACAAAAAAACTGCCTTCTACCTTAATATAGGGTTTTTTTTTTTTTAAAGCCCTAATCCTTGGAATTTTAAATATGGGGTTAGGAAGATTGAATTCTAGGTTATTATGCTAGGGAGGAGGGGTTGTCACCAGTGAAGAAGACATATAGAGATCAAGGCTTACTTGGCTTCCAGTGCCAATGCAATGATGCCCGCAGCCATGGGGGCTGAGGCCGATGTCCCAGTGTGGTTGTCCGTGCAACGTTGCCTTAGATCCGTAGTGATCTAGAAGACAGAAGAAGTGACAAAGTTTAGGCCTCTAGGGTCAAAGCGAGTCACATGCAACTTTTATTAGTGAAGAAACTCACTCATAAAAGTAGAATGGAAGTGGTGTTGAAATATATGTTTTAAATTCTTTATTCCTGTGTTTCTGTGATCATCCAACATATAAAGAACTGCCTGTATAAATAAACTTTGAAAGGGGAAGGTTTTGGAAATTGGATTCTGAGTCTGTTATAAGCAGGATTGGGGCTAGGGTTAGGCAAGTGAGGCACCAATGGCTCAAAATACAAGGGTTGTGCAAGTCCCTCCTTAAATTTTGCATCCTAGGTTCCTTCTCACTTGCCTGAGCCAAGTCGTGGCACTGGTTAAAACTAAAGTTGTTTTGTTACCCCAGCCTTTCTTTACTACCAAGCATGTTGAATCAACAACCCATCACTGCATTAGGCATTAGTAATAAAGGGATAAAAAGTACATGGCTCTTGCCCTTCTAGAACTGTTACCTTGGGAAAGCCAATGGTTTGAAACAAAATGTATACTCTGCAATAGAAGGAACCTTTGACTGTGGACCTATTTCTAGAATTCACAGAAATGCTGCATGAATGAACAAAGACTTCCTCAAAGACTTAACACAAATACTAAAAACAAGAGGCAGGGCCAAGATGTCGGAGTAGTCAGACGTTGCCAGTGGTCCTTCTTAAAACAAAGACCCAAAAAAACAAGTGAATTGATTATATATGACAATCTAGGAGCCCTGAACATCAAAGGCAAAGTTGAGGAATCAGACTGAGAGGCAGGCAGAGGGAGAGACAGTTCAGAAGCAGGGAAGAGTTGCCAGACCTGACCTGGTGGGATTCGGCATCCTACAGGCCGGATCAGCTGGTGTGTGTGGTGAGGTAAGCAGTGGCGTTCGGGATGTTTTTTCCACACTGGAAGAGACCGAGCTGTGGAGAGTCTACTCAAGCCTCTAGGACCAGTGAAAAGCAGTGCTCAACTGGCAAAAGATAAGTACATGCACGCAAGCTATTGTGCAGATCAAAAAACACCCCGTTTGGGACCATGGTCTTGGGGAACATCTAGCTCAATTGGCATAACACAGTTTATAAAGACAATGTTCTACGTTCTCCCTTGGTGAGTAGCATCTGGAGTCTTAAAAGCCTGTGAGCAGCCATCTAAGATACTCCACTGGTTTCACCCCTTCAGGAGCAAGGGAGAATGAAGAAAACAAGATACAAGGAAAAGATTACTCCAAAGGACTAATGGACCACAACTACCATGGCCTCCACCAGACTGGATCCAGTATAACTAGATGGTGCCCGGCTACCACAACTGACCGCTCTGACAGGGATCACAACAGAGGGTCCCAGACAGAGCAGGAGAAAAATGTAGAACAAAATTCTTACTCACAAAAAAGGCCAGATTTTACTGGCTGAAGAAGACTGGGGAAACCCCGAGTTTGTAGCCCCTGGACACCCTTTCAGCTCAGTAATGAAGTCACTCCCAAGGTTCACCACCCACAGTCTCATAAAGCAAAATGAGACTAATGGCGCACAACAGTCCAGGGACAAGAACTAGAAGGCAGAAGGGGACAGGAAAGCTGGTAATAGGAAATCCAAGTTTGAGAAGGGAGAGTGTTGACATGTTGTGGGGTTGTTAACCATTGTCATAAAACAATATGTGTACTAACTGTTTCATGGGAAACTATTTGTTCTGTAAACCTTCATATAAAGTACAATAATTAAAAAAAAAAGACAAAAAAATACCCCATTTGGGAAGAACCTCTCTCCCATTTACCTGCTCCCTCCCCACTCTTCACCGGTCCTGGGGCTGGCTTCAGTGATTGCCACATCCCCTGGGCCAGAAGTAGGACTCATCATGCACCCTAAGCCATTCTCCCAGCCTTGGAGAGGGAAAAAATTAACAAACAGGAAAAAATAATCTGCCAGCTCCCCTAAACTAGGAACTCAGGGCAGGAACAACTCCCTAGGCACAGGCATAAGGGATCCACGGACTTTGAATGCCTTTCACCCCTGCATAGACCTGTGTGGGCCCATCTCAACTGTGTGGGCCCTCGTAACCACAGTACAACAGGGTATATACCTGAAGCTTAACTTTACTGTATCAGCTCTATGGTGAAGTGGCAGGTTCATGACATTTGACATTGCCCTGCCCAGTAAGCAGGGTCCTCATCTACTCATAACAAGGGCCTGAGGACCGGTGGCTCCACCCACACCACTTAGCCACCTGCAACAGAGGTCCAAGAATAAGTGGTGCCTCCCAGTCCTTACACCCAATAACACTGGGTGCCCATAGTCTGGCTGCAAAACCCACCCACCTATGCACTCTAGGGAACAGGGACATGCTTTCCTTCCAGACAATCAGGGGCAACAGTCAGCCCCCTGCCTTGCTCAATGCGTGACCCACTACTGCAGCCAATACCTGTGCTTACTCCAATCACCCTGCCCATTTAAGACTGTAGATGAGAGCCTGCACCACACACTTGGTGACCAATCATCTGGACACCTAAGCTGAATCCATACAAGAAAAGTAAACAGACTCCTGGGCTCACATACCTAGTAACAGAAGTAGCCACCTGGTGACAGGACATTAGACCTTCAAAGGTGTCAATAATCAAACTAGCTCATATGAGCAGCCTATTTGGGCATATCAAAAACAAAACAAAACAAAACAAAACAAAAAACCAAGAAGCTAGGACATAGTAAGCAAACATAAAATAAATAAATATAACAACTTATTGATGGCACAGAGACAACAGTCAATATCAAATCACATAAAGAGGCAGACCATGATGGCTTTAGCAAGCTCCCAAAACAAAGAATCAAGAAATCTTCCAGAGGAAGAGAATTTCTTGGAATTACCAGAGGTAGAATACAAAAGATTAATATACAGAACTCTTCAAAAGATAAGGAAGGAAAATCATGCAAAATGCAGAACAAGCCAAGGAACACACAGACAGGGCAATAGAGGAACTTAAGAAGATTATGGAAGAGCACAATGACAAATTTAACAGGCTGCGAGAATCCATAGAGAGACAGCAAACAGAAATCCAGAAGATTAACAATAAAATTTCAGAATTAGACAGCTCAGTAGAAAGTCATAGGAGCAGAACTGAAGCAATGGAAGTCAGAATTAGTGAGATTGAAGATAAAGCACTTGACACCAACTTATTAGAGGAAAAATCAGATAAAAGAATTTAAAAAAATGAAGAAACCCTAAGAATTATGTGGAACTTTATCCAGAGGAATAACCTAGGAGTGACTGGAGTACCAGAATGGGGTGGGAGGGGGAATAACAGAAAATACAGAGAGAATTGTTAAAGATTTGTTGGCAGAAAACTTCCCTGATATCGTGAAAGATGAGAAGCTATCTATTCAAGATGCTCATTGAACCCCACACAAGGCAGATCCTGAAAGAAATTCACCAAGACATATTATAATCAAACTTGCCAAAACCAAAGATAAAGAGAGAATTTTAAGAGTGGTACCGTGGATTACATTGTGTCCCCCCAAAGATGTGTGTATCAATTTGGCTGGGCCATGATTCCAGTATTGTGTGTTTGTCCTCCATTTTGTGACTATAATTTTATGTTAAATAGGATTAGGGTGGAATTGTAACACCCTTACTAATGTCACATCCTTGATCCAATGTAAAGGGAGTTTCCCTGGGGTGTGGCTTGCACCACCTTTTATCTTACAAGGGATAAAAGGAAAGGGAAGCAAGCAGAGAAAGGGGACCTTATGCCACCAAGAAAGCAGTGCCGGGAGCAGAATGCGTCTTTTGGACCTGGGGTCCCTGCACAGAGAAGCTCCTGGTTTGGAGGAAGATTGATGAGAAGGCCAACAGGAAAAGAAAGACTTCCCTGGAAGCTGATGTCCTGAATTTGGACTTTTAGCCTACTTTACTGTGAAAAAATAAATTTCTCTTTGTTAAAGCCATCCACGTGTGGTATTTCTGTTAGAGCTGTGCTAGATGACTAAGACAAGTGGCTAGGGATAAATGAAAAGTCACCTACAATGGAGAGTCAGTAAGACTAAGCTCGGACTACTCAGCAGAAACCATGCAGGAAAGAAGGCAATGGGATGACATATATAAAGCCTTGAAGGAAAAAAATTGCCAGTGAAGAATTATATATCCAGGGAAACTCTCTCTCAAATATGGTGGTGAAATTAGGGCATTTCCAGATAAACAGAAGTTCAGGGAATTTGCAAAAACCAAACCAAAATTACAAGAAATACTAAAGGGAGTCCTCCGGTTAGAAAATCAATAACATCAGATAACAACCCAAGACTAGACCACAGGACAGAGCAACCAGACATCAACCCAGATAGGGAAGTCACAAAACTAAATCAAAGCTAAAACGTTGAAAATAGGGAAACAGAGAAGTCAATATGTAAAAGATGACAACATTAAAACAAAAAAGAGGCACCAAAAATTGTAGTCATAGATCTTTCATATGGAGAGGAAGTCAAGGCAATATAAAGAAATCAAAGACCGGTTGAAACTTAGAAAAACAAGGGGAAATATTAAGGTAACCACAAAGAAAACTAACAATCCTACACATCAAAATAAAAAAACAAGAAAAACGTAAAGACTCAGCAAATACAAAATCAACAGCAATGAAAAAAATGAAAAGAAAATACATAAATATTAAAAACAAAGTTGAAACTAGTCTGCTTGGTATGAAATTACAACATTAAGTACATATTATAGAAGGAAATTAGTCATTTCTCCATTTTTTTTTGGTTAAAACGTGAAAACTAGATAATTCTTCCCCTCTTGGCTTGAATCCAGCTCACTTCAGCTGTGTGTGGCTGAATAACATTACCATCCAGCAAAGGTAATATTTCTCAATCTTTTTGCCATTATCATCTCACTAAGGAGAAAAAAGTAAAGTTAAATTCTCCCTAACGAGAAAAATTAAATACTATGGAATAAGATTTTGTAAGCCATTGCAATATCGAAGATTTTTCTAACCCGTCATCCTG